AAAATAAATATTATGTAATATAGGACATACTATATCATATTATTATTATAAAATATAAATCTATTATGGACATATATATAAAAAAAATTATAATTAGATTTATAAACATAAAATAATTCTTTATTAAGTAATTTAATAGCATCACTAAAAGGTTGAAATATACCAATAAATCCTACTTTATTAGGCCCCTTACGAATTTGTAGATATCTTAAAATTTTACGTTCTAATAAAGTTAAAAAAGCCACCCCCATTAATATAATTAATAATAAAATCAATAATCTTAATATATTTAATATCCCATAATAATATAAACTTAATTTTGATAAATTATTACTTGTATAATTTATTTTCATACATTATTAAATTCTAAATTTAATACACTTTAACTCTGCCAAAGTAATTTAATTCATTAATCTATATTTAACAATTAAATTTATTCATTTAAAAAAATTCAATTCCAAAAAAAAGTCCTTTCGTACAAAATTTTTTTATTTTATTATAGATAGAAACCGATCTGGCTTACACCGATCTGAACTCAAATCATGTAAAATTTTATTAGTCGAACAGACTAAAATATTAAACTTCTCCATTTAATTTTTATTTTAATTCAACATCGAGGTCGCAATCATTTTTATTAATATGATCTTTTTAAAAATATTACGCTGTTATCCCTAAGGTAATTAATTTTTATAATAACTATTATAAAAAATAAAAAATATTTTTTTAATTTAATAATTAATCTTTTATTAAAATTTCATTAATCAATGTTAAATGTTAAATTATATTAAAATTAAAGTTCATTTTATTTAATTATCTTCCCAATAAAATATAACTTATAAAATAAAATTTATCTTACCTTAAATAGATTCAAAAATTATATTAAATTCAATAGGGTCTTCTCGTCCCATAATTTAAATCAAGTGGTTTGATACCTGCAATGGTTTGCATTGCACTTGTTGATGTTAGTCTCGTTGCCTTTGTAATCATTATTAATAAAGGTCGCTGTGCAGCCATTAGATGTCTTTTTACCATAACGTTATCAACTTTGTCAAACCATGCCAATGACGCGTAGCTTGCAATCGGCATAGCTACCATTTTGTACAATATTTTTCTTCCGTGTTGTTTTATTCCCCATTCTTCTTTCGCAATTCTTTTGATTGCCATTATTAAATTTATAATTTTACCTCTAATATATTTTGCATGATTTATAAAACTCAATTTTTCATCCAATATAACCCCAAGGTATTTAGTTTCACTTCGAAATTTAATTTTAACGTCGTTAACTTTTATAATTGGTGTTCTTGCCTTATCTAATTTGCTCTTTACGAGTAGCGCGACAGTCTTTTCAGTTGCCAGCTGTAGCTTATGCGTATTACACCACTCTATAATGGTATTGATAACTTGGTTAGCTGTTTTTCTATACTCGCTCTAGAATCTTCTTTTATTAATATTGCGACATCATCGGCATATGCCACCGCTTCAGCCTTTAGAGCAGGAAAGCAATTTGCTATATTGTTTAGTAGCAGATCCATGCACCAATTCCAGGCATTTGGTCCTATAATGGATCCCTGTGGGCATCCTCTTTCCGTTTTTGCCATAAATTTTTCATATTTGGTATTAATATTAACTTTTCGATGTCTAAAGTATGACTTAAATACTTTTATAAGCTTTGTGCTGCAATTTCCTTTAATCAGTCTATGTATGATAGAGGGCCACCATAGATTGTCAAAAGCACCTTGGATGTCTATAAAGATTGCAACCACATATTTTTTGTCTGTATTTTTACAGCTTCTTATTAGGTGACTTATTGCGTCTTCCGTTGATTTTCTTGGTCTAAAACCATATTGGTTTGGGCTTTCAAGTTCTAATAATTTGTAGCTTGCTTCCATTCGCTCCACGATTATTCTCTCGTATACCTTGCTCATTGTCGGTATTAATGAGATCGGTCTGTAAGAGTTTAATGTACCTTTATTTTTATTACTTTTGAGTATTACTTTAACTTGAAATTAACTGAAGAATATAATTATGTTAACCATTTAACTCTACAAAGTTTAGTTTGCGAGAAACTCGTTTTTTTCAATCGCTTTAACTCGAAAATTATCGACTTCTCAATATTTTCACTGAGGAAAAATGATTTCCAAATTGGCCAGAGAATTCGGTATTATATGTCATATATGTTTATTTAGTTACACCCAGTATATATATATATATATATACAGGGTGTAACTAAATAAATCACACGCACACGTACTTACGAGTATGCGCGCGCGCACACGCACACTTATACACACATACACATGTTTATATATATATATATAAACATGTATATGTGTGTATAAGTGTGCGTATAAGTGCGCGCGCGCGCGCGCATACTCGTAAGTACGTGTGCGTGTGCGTGTGCGTGCGTGTGTGTGTGTGTGTGTGTGTGCGCGCGCGTGTGCGTGTGCGTGTGTGTGTGTATGTGTATAAATTGAAAGGATTCTATCAGGTATAGATGAAATTTAAATAGTTACTTTATTGCCAAAAATTAATTTTTATTAATTTATTTTTACCAAAATTCTCAGGTGATTACGCTCAATGGAGTCATTATCGAGATTTGTTTACGTCCATGATCATGGAAAATAATGATATATCGGCTGTCGAGAAACTACATTATTTAAAAATGAGCTTGACAGGGGAGCCATCGCAACTCTTGAAAAATGTGACTATCTCTAGTGAAAATCTCAACCGCTCCTGGAAAATGCTCATTGCTCGCTACAAAAATAAGCGAATACTAATTGATGCTCAATTGTCAGCGTTATTCGCAATTCGCAAACTTAAAACCGAGTCATCATCGGAACTCAAGCGACTTCTCGGCGACGTTAAGGAAATCCTCGGTGGTCTCGAAGCTCTCGACTGTCCGGTGCGCCAGTGGGATCATCTTATCGTTTTTATGACTGTGCGCAATCTCGATTCCGAATCAATGAAGGATTGGGAAAAAACACTCGGTGCGACAACTACCGCGCCTTCCTTCGCCGACTTAGAAACCTTTCTCGTTGGACGCGTGCATACTCTCGAAGCTATCGAAAGATCCACGACCTCACGTAAACATCCAGCGACAAATATGACACGACCTCAACTAAACGCAAGATCATACGCTACCACCACCGCCGAACAGCAGTGTGCGTTGTGCAATTCAAGCCATTATATTTCGGCGTGTCCGAAATATCTTGAGAAGACTCCCGCTCAACGCCGCGAGACAGTTTCATCGAAAAACCTCTGTTATAACTGTCTCGGTCCTCATCATCTGAAAAGCTGTCGTAATGCAAAGCGCTGTCGTATCTGTCGCAAGCAACATCACTCAACGCTACATCTCCCATCAAACGAACCGGTAGCCGCAACAACAACGATGTCGCCGATTGCCTCAATTCCGTCGACCTCGCACATAGGACTCACCTCCACGCATCTCGCGCAAGCCGACGGACAAGAATCAACGCTTCAAGCATGCAGTCATGTGACACAATCGCGTATAATTCGAAGTACGTCCGTACTGCTCGCGACCGCTCTCGTTACCGTCGTATCACCATACGGCGAACATTATCAAGTACGCGCGTTGCTTGATCAAGGATCGGAGGCATCATTTATCTCCGAATCCGTCGCACAAATCTTAAGACTCTCACGCACTTCAGCTGCAATTCCAATTATCGGGATCGGTGCTCAGCGATCCAGTGTCTCCAATGGACGTGTCTCTTTTGAAATTATCTCACGCGTCAATTCGGCATTCTCTCTAAAAATCGAAGCTCTTGTGTTGCCGAAACTCACCTCTTATCTGCCACCTGCAGTTATTGTGAATGCTCAGTGGCCTCATATCCATGGATTGGCGCTTGCAGATCCAAACTTTGCAACGCCAGGAAAAATTGATCTCGTTCTCGGCGCAGGTGTTTGTGCGCAAATTCTCGAAGACGGCATTTGCCGAGGAGCTAGCGGTACGCCAATCGCTCAGAAAACCACTTTCGGCTGGATACTCTTCGGACAACTCTACTCTGAGCATGATCGCATCTCAACAGAACAATCAATTAATGGATTGCATTGCTCTCTTGATGGTGAACTCCTCGATCTGCTCCAAAGATTCTGGGCCCAGGAAGAAATCACGCCTGTGCATAACGTGACGCTCACCCCAGAAGAATCTCAGTGTGAAGAACACTTCAAGACAACGCATTCTCGTGACGCGCATGGACGCTTTATCGTTCGGTTACCGCTCCGAAAAACTGTAAGTGACTTGGGTGATTCTCGCGCTCCAGCACTCAGGATGCTCCGACGTATGGAAGCGCGCTTCGAAACGCACGCTTCTCTCAAGGTAGCCTATAAGGAGTTCCTACGTGAGTATCTTGAACTTGGTCATATGCGTCTCTCAAGTTCTCATGATATTTCGCGACGCGAATTCTTCCTGCCGCATCACGGCGTCATTAAAGAAACAAGCTCGACCACGAAATTACGCGTCGTGTTTAATGGATCGCAGAAAACAAATCTCGGAATATCATTAAACGACTGCTTGCATATTGGCCCGAAATTGCAGACGGATCTCATTGACATTCTCGTTCGCTGGCGTCGACATCGCTACGTGTTCGCGACCGATATAGAAAAAATGTATCGACAAATTCGCGTACATCCAGACGATTGGCCACTTCAGAAGATTTTCTGGAGAGACTCTCCGTGTGAACGGCCGCGAGAATATCTCTTATGTACCGTGACATACGAACTAGCTTGCGCGCCATATCTTGCACTTCGCTGTCTGCAACAGCTCGCAACCGACATTGAATCCACACGCGGACTGGCTGCCGAAATTCTACGCCGCGATACATACGTGGACGACATTTTATCCGGGTCAGATGACATCTCTACAACGAAAGAAAAGATGCAGCAGCTTAAGGATACTCTCACGGCGGGTGGCTTCAATCCGAAGAAGTGGATTACAAACGCTTCGGAATTGCTCCAAGGTATTCCCGTGTGCGATCAGGATCCTTCCGCGATCCTACCCGTCGGCGACTCCACGACGCATTATACTCTCGGAATTCGTTGGAGCCGATCAAGTGACAGTTTCGTGTTTGTTGCCCCTTCGTTTCCGCGCTCAGACAAAGCGTTCACTAAACGCTCGGTACTCTCGTTTATCGCGCGGATTTTCGATCCTCTCGGCTGGATCGCACCGATTATAATCACGGCCAAGCGATTCATGCAACAACTGTGGGCAATACGTCTCGACTGGGATGACGAATTACCATGTTCTCTCAAATCTCAGTGGATCGAATTCATGCAGCAATTCGAACAGGTGTCGGCTATTGTGATTCCGTTGGTTCGGCACCAGCTCATCGGCTCTCGGAACCGAATTGCATGGTTTCTCGGACGCCTCTCAACATGCAATTGCCGCAGTTATCTATCTCCGTGTCGTGACTCCCACCGGCATTCATGTGACTCTCGTTAGTGCAAAGACAAAAGTGACTCCGCTTAAACGCGTAACAATTCCGCGACTCGAATTATCAGCTGCCGTACTCCTCGTGAAACAGCTTCTCAAAATACGCGAAGTTCTCGATTTAACTCAAACGCCAGCGCATCTCTGGACGGACTCTACCGTCGCGTTAACATGGATCAAAAGCCATCCATCGAGATGGAAAGAATTCGTGCGAAATCGTGTTGTGTTCATACAAGAGCTCTCAAACTCTCGGTGGCATCACGTCTCAGGGAAAGAGAATCCTGCTGACGTGGCGTTTCGCGGAACATCGCCTCAACTTCTCCAGCAAGATCAGTCGTGGTGGCATGGACCTCCGTGGCTACAGCAATTCTTGACCGCGTGGCCAGTCTCAAAGCTCTCGCTCGATTCCAACGCACATCTTGAAGAACGAGCTCGTAATTGCGCCATCGCGATCGTGATTCCAGAGCCAGATATGTGGGATCTCATAAAACGATACTCATCTTTCACTCGACTGACCCGCATTACCGCCTGGATTCTACGTGCGATCCAACGCTTCCGACCTTCAAGGACTGTGCCTGTATCGCAAGACCCTCTTACTGCAGGGGAGCTAGAATTGTCAGTCCTTCTTTGGGTCGAATTAACGCAACATGCTTATTTCTCAACGGAAATTTGACTCCTACGAGGAGGTAAGCAGCTGCCGAAAACCAGCGCACTATTCCGTCTCACTCCGTTTCTCGATACTAAAGGGCACCTCCGACTACAAGGACGTCTTCAATTGTCTCAGCTGGATCCGGCGGAAAAACATCCATTGATTTTACCTCGCAGTTCTCGATTGACGGACCTCATAATGGATTATTACCATAAACAGACGTTACATGGCGGACCACAACTCATGCTCTCGGTTATACGCCGCAAATTTTGGATTCTCGGGGGTCGCCTGCCGGTTCGCTCATTTATTCATCGATGTGTAACCTGTACACGTCAACAAGCAGTTACCGGGCTTCAACAAATGGGACAGCTTCCGGCCTCTCGTGCAACTCCATGTCGACCTTTCTATCATACCGGGGTCGATTATGCCGGACCTCTAACACTCAAGACCTTTCGCGGACGAGGTGCAAAAACTTACAAAGGATACTTTGTAATCTTTATCTGCTTCAGCACCTCAGCTATGCATCTCGAGGTGGCGACAGATTATTCGACCGATGGATTCATCGCCGCCTACAAACGGTTCACGGGCCGCAGAGGGATTTGCTCCACAATCACAAGCGACTGCGGCACCAATCTCATAGGAGCGGATTTCGAATTAAGGCGACTGTTCAAGGCCTCAACGACAGAATGGACTCACATCGCCTCCCAGCTCGCCAACGATGGAGTTACGTGGAAGTTTAATCCACCCTCGGCCCCTCACTTCGGAGGAAAGTGGGAAGCTGGAGTGAAATCGGTCAAATTCCACCTCAGGCGAGTCATAGGTGACACGCTGCTCACCTATGAAGAGATGAACACGCTCTTAATTCAGATCGAGGCGGTTCTCAACTCTCGCCCTCTAAGCGCTCTCTCGGATGACCCAACGGATGTTTCAGCGCTCACGCCAGGGCATTTTCTAATCGGATCACCACTGTACCGGAGCCCTCTCTGGGTGATGTCCCAGCATCTCGGCTGTCGCGCTGGCAGCTACTCCGCCAGATGACGGAGTCATTCTGGAAGCGTTGGACTGCAGAATATCTGTCCCAGTTTCAGGTCTCCTCTAAGCGGCACCAAGCGCAAAATTCATTTCAGGTTGGGTCTTTAGTTCTCATCAAGGACGAACGGACGCCTCCTACCAAATGGCCTCTCGCACGCATCATTGACGTGCATCACGGGCCTGACGGACTTATCAGAGTCGTCAGTGTGAAGACGGCCAACACTACGCTCAAAAGACCAATTGTCAAATTGTGCCTGCTGCCGGATCCAAATAAAACATAGACATTCTCGCGATAGATTCACGTTCCATAAATATTGTCAACGCGGAGTTGCCAAGGCGGGCGAAATGTTTGGAGTTTGACAAGTAAAAGTTATCGCATATCGATCAATCTTATATTTCGGCATTAAAGTTTTCGATCATTGTATTTATATATCACGCCTTTGTATAGCCAATTATTTCAGCGTGACAAATATATTATTTTCGAGTCTCGTATTGTTACGATGCCGCGACCGTGACATTCCTTGTTGTTTTTCGCTGCCGATCAGCTGGCGATCAGCTACCGATCAGCTGATTCGCACTCAAATAAACATACCTTGCTCCCCGTTTTTCACCCTTACGACGGGGAATTCTTGTCTCTCGACACCTCGTCAACGGCAGTCGAGCTGAGCTCTCTGATCAAGCAAGGTTGTCGCGCGAAGGCTATGTATCTCGAATTCAGTTTTTGTCTCCATCTCAATTGTGTGTTTCTCAAATAAACTCTTAAAGGATCAAATCAGTTTGTCATCTCTCTTAAGCAATGATCTTTCATCTTTCCTCTATCCTATCGTTCGGTTAATTTTGATGTCTCCAGTGAGAACGTGGATTTTCATACAGTTCATGTGCGAATCCCGGGATCTTTGAAAACCTAACTATCTCGCGTAAACAAATAACTAGAATTTAAAAAAAATTACTTTAAAAATGATTTATTATAAGTATTAATTATATATGTTAGTGATATAGTTATTAAATATGATTAAATGATGTGATTTAACGTGAATGTGTATTAAATGATAGTTACACACCCACACACACGTACATATATAATAATATGGCTTATATTTTTTGGAACGTATATATGTATTATTTAAAAAATAAAAATGTAATTAAATAAATTACATTTATTTGAAAGAAAAACGTAGAGGAGACAAGGGTTGATTATAACACGAGTAAAAAGTAATAATCTTTAAAATTAATGAAAAACATATTTTATAGCAGCACTAAAAAGAGATAAATGCTCGGTAAACTTGTATTGAACGTTTATCTCTCCTTTTAGCACTGCTATAGCACTGCTATGAATTTAATTTTAAATATTGGTACTTTTACTCGTATTAAAACCAATCTTTGTCTCTCTTATATAAAACTCTTTTATGACGTATAAATTATATCACTATAACATTCCATTTCCTATTACAATGATGTCATAATGACATCACATCTGTATAAATTACATCACTGTAACATACCATTCCTATCACAATGATGTCATAGTGATATCACATCTGTATAAATTACATCGCTATAACATTCCATTTCTTATCACAATGATGTCATGATGACATCACATCTGTTACGAAGCGGACATTCGCACGTCACTATGACATCACTGTGATTTTATTTTGACATATTTTATCGTCACAGAGCAATGTCTTTGTGACATCACTGTGACATTTTTTGCTATATGGGTATATATCTTTGTAACTAAGCTTTAAATTAAAATTTTATTAAAGTAAACTCCACTTGAAATTAACTGAAGAATATAATTATGTTAACCATTTAACTCTACAAAGTTTAGTTTGCGAGAAACTCGTTTTTTTCAATCGCTTTAACTCGAAAATTATCGACTTCTCAACATTTTCACTGAGGAAAAATGATTTCCAAATTGGCCAGAGAATTCGGTATTATATGTCATATATGTTTATTTAGTTACACCCAGTATATATATATATATATATACAGGGTGTAACTAAATAAATCACACGCACACGTACTTACGAGTATGCGCGCGCGCACACGCACACTTATACACACATACACATGTTTATATATATATATAAACATGTATATGTGTGTATAAGTGTGCGTATAAGTGCGCGCGCGCGCGCGCATACTCGTAAGTACGTGTGCGTGTGCGTGTGCGTGCGTGTGTGTGTGTGTGTGTGTGTGCGCGCGCGTGTGCGTGTGCGTGTGTGTGTGTATGTGTATAAATTGAAAGGATTCTATCAGGTATAGATGAAATTTAAATAGTTACTTTATTGCCAAAAATTAATTTTTATTAATTTATTTTTACCAAAATTCTCAGGTGATTACGCTCAATGGAGTCATTATCGAGATTTGTTTACGTCCATGATCATGGAAAATAATGATATATCGGCTGTCGAGAAACTACATTATTTAAAAATGAGCTTGACAGGGGAGCCATCGCAATTCTTGAAAAATGTGACTATCTCTAGTGAAATAGTAACTGGTTCATAAATTTTAGTTTCCTCATATTCTCGAATTTTTCCAATGACATTCACAACTGTATAATCTTTGATAGTTAAATCCATAGGGACATTTCCTAAACTCTTAGAATAACGTTTTTGAGAAAAAGCTCCGGATACATGTACCACCTATATACATATAAAAAATATAATTATTAATTTTATAAAATACTTATTAATTATGAAATTTATTATTAAAAATGTTCATCAATAGAAAAGTTTAAATTTTGCAACAATTGTTGTAAGATGACTTTGAAACATATTTGCTAAAAAAAAATTTTCTAAAATTATAAGTTATAAATATTGTAATAAGAAATGTTTTTATGTATACATACATACATACATTTTAAAATTATTTATAATGAAATAAATAATGAGATAAATATTTAACAAAAGTCAATTTTTTTTACAATATTTATAACTTATAATTAAAAAATGATTTTTTAACAAAAAATGTGTTTTGTAAAGTCATTTTACATTATTTATTATAAAACTTAAACTTTCCTATATGAGTTTTTTATATTCAAGATAAAAACATAAATTTACATTAAAAAATTTGTTATCAAAATTAATTGATCAATTGTAAATAATTTTTTTAAATTATAAAATTGATTTTTTATTTGTAATATTTTACTAACAGTAAATTAACATTATTTCTAAATGTTAAAATTTAGTTTTGTTATTAATTTTTATTATTAATAATTTTTATTAAAAAAAAACATTTTTTGTAGAATATTTTTATTAATAATTTTATCTCAATTTTTTATAGAATTGACATCATAAAATTAATTATTTATTTTATTGTAAGATTATTTATAAATTATGTTGATTTTTACATTTTATAATTATTTATAAAAAGATTTTTTAAGAACAGTTAATATTTTATGTAATAACAAATATATAAAATAATGTCTTAATTTATGTTGTAAACATTTGTAATAAAATGATTTTAATTTTGTGATAAAAACTTACAAATGATGTTTTAAAGTTATGTATAACTCGATTTATGTTATTGCCCCATATAGTAACTTGAACCTTCCAGTCTTTATTATTTGTCAAAATTACTCGACAACGTTGAACTTCACCATTTTTAGTTTTAACAGCAATTGTACTGTCGATTTGTTCCACCATACTGATAAAACACCTTAAAAAATATATATATATAAACAATTAATATTTTATATTTATTAAAAAAATAAAAAAATAATTAAAAGTTCAATAAAATTTTTAATAAATGTATCTTTTATACATCAATTACATTTATATGATTTTATGCTACTATTATATAGTTTTATTCTTAAACTGACAGAATTTTACAAATTTGACGATAATACTGAAATAGTGAGAATAAGTAATAAATATGAATAAAAAATTTATGAATAAAAAATTAAATATTAAAAAATTTTTAAAACTTACACTGTACCATCATTAGGTAACATAACTTCGAAAAGTTCTCTTGGTGAAACATATAATGTTGGATTATCACACAACTCACGATAAATGTCTGATTCGCTATCCATTTTCTTTGTAGCTTTATCCTAGAATTTTTAAATAAAAAATATTTCAATGTAACGTACACACGCAATTTTAAAATAAAAATATAAATAGCAACTAAAATTTAATATTATATAGTAAGAATATATATTTATAAGAATATATTATTATTAAGACAAATAATATAAATATTTTTAACAAAAATCAATTGGAATATAAATAATTGTAAAATAATTTTTTGTAATAGTTTATATTAGCAAATATATAAATGTTTAGTTGTAATTAATATAAGTTGTAAATAATTAATATAAGTTGTAATTAATATATGTAACAAATATTTAGCGAAAATTTTTTTGAAATATCATAATTAAGTGACTATAAGACGAAATATACAATATATGTATACAATATTTTAATTGTAAGATAGATTTAAGCACATATTTAATTATAAGTTATATAATTGTAATTAGTATAAATAAATTATTCATATAACTTCATATATATTTACCGTTTAGTTTAATAAATCACAAAGAATCAAATTTATATAATAATTATAATAATATTTCAATTTTATGCACAATTAATAATACTAAATGAATTATACGATGTCTGTTACTTTTAACGATGATGTTACCATCATTACGTAGCGATGTACATGTTAAAATATATGCGTAATGACATTACCATGATACAATGTTACATAGCAACCATCGTTATTAGGACTAAAGGATATCGCACACAAATTACATAAGCTGCATATGCATAGCATAAGACCTTATGGACCAATGAGCATCAAGCATTGAATCACATGCTCGATGTTCATTGGTCCATAAGGTCTTATGCTATGCATATGCAGTTTATGCAATTTGTGTGCGATAGCATTAAAGGCCGCCGCACACACTTTTGCATGACATATAATGTAAGTGTATAAAGAATTTGATTGGTTGAATTTTATTATGCATGTGCTGATGGACCAATAAAATGTCTAGATTC